CCCGCTGAGCCCATTGATGGAACAGACATCTCTGGTACTCAGGGGCCCTGAAACACCTGCTGCAATCAAACAAGCCCAGCAGTTCAAGCCTCCCTGGTTTGGAGGACAATGGCTGCAATAGAGCTCTGGGGAGATGTGGCACATAGATCATATCACACTGCCACCAACCCACCAAGGCAAGTGCCACGTGCTCACCAAGGTGGAAGAAACCACCGGATGGCTGGAAACATCTCCTGTGTCCCTTGCCACTACCCAAACACTGTCCTGGCCTTTGAAAAACAAATCCTATGGTGACGTGGTACCCAGAAAGGATGGAGTCAGACTGGGCCAAAGGGCATTGAGTGGGCCTATCACAGCCCCCATCATGCACCAGCTTCTAGGAACATCTAATGAAAGAGTGGAATACACTGAGAGCAATGGGTGGTGGGACATTCCAACACTGGGACACATATTTAGCAAAAGCTACCTACTCAACACTAGAGGACCTATAAATCGAGCTGTCCCTGCCCAATCCAAGCTTCCACGTTCTTCAGAAGGGGTAGAGTCCCTGTGGTGCACATGAAGATTCTGTTAGGGAAGCCAGTCTGGGATATTCCTGCCTCAGGCAAAGGCAAACCTATCCATGGGATTGCTATGGCTCAGGGACCTGGGTGCACTTGGTGGCAGATGTGGGAGGGTCTTGGTTTGACCCAGGATGAAGACAATTTTCATTACCTGATTTCTTTTCTTCAGTGAACTCTCTTTGATGGAGCAGCAAGTTTCCAGCTAGTGGACTGATAACTCTGGAATGTTTATAGACAGTGCCAAGACACCAAGGACACTTTGCTCTCCTTATTGAATCTGCTGCTTTGGATAGCAAAGGAGCAGGAGTTGTATCTACAACCCGCCTGTAGAGAGGAGCAGACTAGATAGATGGCAAACCTCGCCAAAAGATTATTCCATCCCATATATAAAGGCAGGGGCCATGGAATTCAAGCCTCTTCTCCCTTCCTTCTTCTTCTTCCCTCCTCTTCTGCTCAAGGCCAGCATCCAGGGTGGACTCCACCTCCAACATTGATCCCTAGAATTACATGTTCCTGCCTCTCATCACTCTCCCCTCAGCTCCTGGCTGCTCTGCCCTCTCTCCAGCAGCTCTGGGACACTTCAGAGCTGCTCACAGCTCAGGAGATGCTGGAGGAGTTGCTGGGGGTGGGGGCAGGAGGTTGGAATTTGACACAAATTCCTACACATATTTGTATAGATTCTTTTATCATGAGTGTTTAATTCAAGCTGTCTAGTTTAGTTTTCAATACAGAAAGTCTCTCTCCTCTTTCTCTCTCCTTCCCTACCTGGGTGGGAGGTGGAGGGGATGGAGAGCATTGTTTTCTCTGCTTTAATTGCCCATCCTGAGTCAAACCATGACAACAATTTATTGGCGCCCAACGTGGGGCTGTATCTTTAGCCCAGGCTCTAAAGTCATTGGTGAATGTTTACAATTCAATCTCTGATGGCAGGATTCCCTCAGGTAACAATGGGCTGCACTTCTGCTGAATCTACGGGTTGAAAACTGAACAGACATTTCCTACAAAGTTTCTGCTGCAGCTTTTTCCCAAGATGCAGTTGTACATGTGGTGTGCAGCTGGGATCATCCTGCTCTGTGGAGCTGCTCTGCTGATTCTTTTATGTATATGTGATTGTTTTATGTATATGATGGCTTTTTATTTATAAGACTATAGCCGAAGCCATCATCTCTCCCATGAGAAGATATTTAGTGCTCACAGGGGTTTTGCTACTGCTCTGTAGGGTGGCAGTGTGTAGTAAGGGTTTTGATGTGAACAGAAAGGTCCATGTTGGTAATGGCAGGGTAGCTTTAGCTCTCCATTTTGTGATGGAGAAGATTCTTCTCAAGCAGGTGGAGGAGCAGGCCCCTCTCAAGCAGATGACAGCAATGACCATGTCCAACCTTTCTCTCTAAAGGAACTGCACCTCATGAGAAAGGACTTGACCCTCCATGAAGCTGAGTCACTTCTTCCTTGGTTGCTCTGCTGCTTTGATAGTGGGGCTGAAATCTATGACATGGATGAGAGAGAAGGCAGGCAGTTGGGATCCCTGCCCAGAGATGCTGGTATTGATAGAGCACTTGGGAGTAAGGCAGGAACTACCAGCCTGTGGAGCCAACTTCTTTCAGCTGTGAGGCAGAGATACCCCCACAAGGGTGACATCGACTGGCACCGAAGCAAAACAGCCACTCTTGAGAGC